CAATATGCTATATACTGTACTATATATAGGCTCTCTCACATCCTCAATTCAATGTCAACTTAGTATTGACTTTACAATTTCTAAAAAAATACAAATTGATTTAATAGATTCTATGTATTCATGTTTATTTATAGGACCTCTGTGTTATTACTAACATTATATTTCGAGTCAATAAAACTGATATGTAAGGTGAAATATGATTTTTTTTTTTTTTTTTTTTTTTTGGGGGGGGGGGGGTAATAATCGAAACCGAATTTTGTTTCTTCTTTTTTCCAGCTGGTCTTTTTTAAGCATACCCTTTCTTCTTGTCGATTACAATTTAAATTTAGAATAGGCTAAGAAGAACCATTAAATCCTCATCTTATTTGTCTTAATTTCAAAAACTATTGCAGGTTTTTAAATACATATTTCGCTGAAAATTATGAAACCGAACCTGACAGAAAATATTTAAATATTTACAAACATTGGTCATTAAAAATTTCATAAGCCATAGACCTTACATTAACATACAAAACACCAGCAAAACCATAATGATAGGAACTCAGTAGCAAACAGAAACCAAATTATATCCGCTAAGAGGGTTTGTACATGTATGTACAATGATATCTCTTTATCACGATGCACTATTTTACATTCCGCGGACTAATATGAATATGATAATCAAAGGTATCTGAAGTAACTGTTAACATGAGCGTTAGTAGTAGACAATTTAAAAAAGAATCTTACTCCTAGTAGGAAGATGTTAATGTCTCATCCATTTTATTCATTTATTATTATCCATGTGTTTATCAGTTTCTTATTTTTATCATTATGTTTGTTGTTATTATTATTATTATTATTATTATTATTATTATTGTCATTATGGTTATCATTATTGTTATAATTATGATTATAATTATTATTATTATTATTATTATTATAATTATTATTATTATCATTATTATAGGATTTTTCGGCCAAATTCGCGAGTTTGTCATTTAAATTAATTTGTCTTGCGTTCAAATTCGACGGTTTTAGTGCTGTCAGATATATCTTGGGTTTATATTCCTTTTACTAGTTTTCAAATCTATGCAGTTTTCGTTAGAATCTATGTATGTTTCATTCAAATTAATGAATAATGTGCTTCTTTTGCTATTTGGTCATTCGATTTGGCGCAACACGATTTCTGACATCACGAAGGTGTACTTTTAGCATTCGAATTCATTTTTAGCATTCAAATTAGCACTTTTTGCACTTAAATTGATGGTCAATATACATTTCTCGTTAATTACACACTTTTTATAGCTCATTCTTTTTCTTTCAAGATTTTTTTTTCATGTGTATTTCATCATATTTCATTTTCTTGCATTTATACACTTTATATACTTTTAGATTTATCTGATATTCATCATCCTTTAAGTTTGATTGTGAAAAAAAAAAAAACTTACATCTACGGACTTGATGGTCTCAATATTTTTGTAAATTTTCATGTAAGGAAGTTGTTTTTCTTGTGTTTCATCATAAATGTATCACAATTTCATTATGGAGGAAGGGTAAGATATTGTGACTAGGGTAGGTATTTTTGTATCCCCATTTTTCCGGGGTATATGAACATGTCCGTGCAGAAATGCCATATCCCTTGATTTCGCCCCTTCTTTACCTAATGTCTGACTACACCCATATGCATTGTCCTTAATTTTTTTTTTTTTTTTTTTTTAAACTGTAAACGTGTGTTGCATTTCTTCCCCCTAACATTCCTAATTTGAATAAACATAATTCGAATACGAATGACAGGTGTTAATTTGAATGCTAAAAATGATGCCTCGACAAGTGACGATTAATTTGAGTGCTAGTTGAGCAGTTCTAAATTAAATGACAGATCTATGAAACCCTTCAACCAAAATCCCAAATTAAATACCAAAACGTGAAAATTGAATGAAAATTGACATGGCAAAGCCGATCTGCGCTAACTTAAATGCAAAGTAAATGAATTCGAATGACAAACTCGCGAATTTAGCCGGGAAATCCTATATTGTTATTATTATTATTATTGTTATTATTAGTATTATTATTATTATTATAATTATAAATAGCATTCAAATTAATCGTCACTTGTCGAGGCGTCCTTTTTAGCATTCAAATTAACACCTGTCATTCGTATTCGAATTATGTTTATTCAAATTAGGAATGTTAGGGGGAAGAAATGCAACACACGTTTACAGCTTTAAAAAATGCAATTAAATACATGTATTGCTATTGGGGTCTTTTCTGTTATTCAATTTATTAATGTCGAGGACAAAGCATATGTTTGTAGTCAGACATTAGGTAAAGAAGGGGCGAAATCAAGGGATATGGCATCTCTGAACAGACATGTTCATATACCCCGGAAAAGTGGGGACACGAAAACACCTACCCCAGTCACAATATTGTACCCTTCCTCCATAATGAAATTGTGATAAATTTATGATGAAACACAAGACAAACAACTTCCTTACATGAAAATTTACACAAATATTGAGACCATCAAGTCCGTAGATGTACAGTAAGTCTTTTTTTAACAATCAAACTTAAAGGCTGATGAATATCTGATGAATCTAAAAGTATATAAAGAGTATAAATGCAAGAAAATAAAATAGGATGAAATACACATGAAAAAACGATCTTGAAAGAAAAAGAATGAGCTATAAAAAGTGTTTACAAAACGAGAAATGTATATTGACCCTTAATTTTAGTGCACAAAGTGCTAATTTGAATGCTACAAATGAATTAGAATGCTAAAAGTACACCGTCGCGATGTCAGAAAATCGTGTTGCGCTAAATCGAATGACCAAATAGCGAAAGAAGCAATTTGTTCATTAATTGGAATGAAACATACATAGATTCTAACGAAAACTTCATAGATTTGAAATCTAGAAAAAGGAATATAAACCCGAGATATACCCGACAGCACTAAAACCGTCGAATTTGAACGCAAGACAAATGAATTTGAATGACAAACTCGCGAATTTGGCCGGGAAATCCTATATTATCATTATTAATACTACTACTACTATTATAATTATCATTATTATTTTTATTTTCTTGTGTACATTATTATTATCATTCGTCAACATCGTCATCATTATGATTATTTACCTCCGATGTGCATTTAGGAAAAGAAGAAATAAAACCGGGAATTTATTATTTCGCTTACAAATAGTCTTTCCGTCTTTGAGAGAAATCGATTAAATTATTTCATTGCCAAATATGGAAGCATGACCATGGACGGAAACGGTTACTTCTATGTTAAGATAAGACAGGGTGATGTAGCAAATTTATTATTTGAAACTGAAACAGAAGGCTCCTGGTTTGTTTTAGGTCATTTCAGCGCGAGACACGTCAACTTTCATTTCTTCTCCAGTCTATGTACATGCATTTTGAAATACAATCATAAATGAATAGTATCTCTTTCTGACACCAACTCCCATCTATTTGTTGATTGAATATGAAGTTCGCATACCAGGAGACAGTGTTCGTTACTATAACCATTGTAGCCATCGTGTCTTTACAAGGGGGTAAGAATTCTTAGAAATCTATCCATGTTCTTTTATAAATGTAATGCTTCCTGGGAGAAATTTCAAATTGGGTATTTGTTTCTAGTTCATCGTGACTGTGCCATGGACCAGTGATGGCCTGGTGGTAGAGTCGCTGCCCGGTAAGCAGTAGATGCAGGTTCAAGTCCCGCTGGTTCCAAGATTTTTTCTGACTTGTTTTTCAATACAGATCGATCAATCGATCTTATTTACTGGGTGTAAGCCACAAATATGTTTAGATAATATCCATGTTCGTCATAAAACCTCATCCCTTTTTGTTCTGATAAAAAAAAATCTTATTGCTTAGTTTAATTTAATTTTTGTGTTAAAAAGGAGAAAATCACTTCCGGTTTATCCTACCTTTGGGTGCTGTGAATTATATCTGCTGTTTCAACATTCCGCTGTGTCAGGTATTAAAATAGGAATGCTCGGGAAATCAGCCGTCTTATCATTTCTAAACTGTCACTTTCATATCTTAATACAGTAACAAGTCAGCAAGAATGGCACCGACTGGATGACGCAGTCTATCTAGTGGATAGCACCACCGCAGTGAGAGGGTACGATGAGGCGCAGGCTGTCTGCCAAGGTTACGGAGCGAATCTAGCCAGGGTTGACTCAGATGAGATCCAGGTATACAAACGATTCAAAGAACGGCCAGATGTTAATCACAATTACTCTTTTAGCTTGTAACGTGATATATATACAGCTTAAAGTTACGGCTAAGTTCTGTTTAAATGTGTTGTAATTACAAATCCACCGTTGTTGACCGTTGTGAGGGTGATAATTATAGTAAAAATGAATGAATGCAAAATAAACAGTGCACTGATAATGAATGATTTGTTCCTGGCGCATGCGATAATATCTATTACATGCGAGAATTGCGCATTATTGATTGCATCACCTACGCTAATAGAGCCTACGAGGGCAGTTAGTGTATGGGCGAGTAATATAATGCAATCTAAGCACGATTTACTCACTCTCACAGCAATGACGCATCGTGTCCGAGGGGTAATATTCATTTAATCGAAAAATGTCCGATTCTTAAAAAAAAAAAAATTCTAAATCATTGCACATATAATGTTGTGTACGATTCTTCCTTCGAGTGATGTCACGTATAGAGAGATGTGGAGAATGTTTCACTTTTAATTGTTGAATAGTTTCTAATCGATATCATGTTACGCTCAGGCTATAGAAATTTTCTTTGTGATTTCTTTTAGGAGTGGGAAGTGAGTTTTATATTTTGTATTTGTCAATATCAATGCAGGATTTCTTGACGCCTTTCATCACTCCGGCCTTACAAAATAGCCGGTGCTTTTGGATTGGTTGCACCAGGGACAGAGAGGGTCAATTCAGATGGCTTGACGGCACATCAGTGATGTAAGTACTATAATCACGACATCGACAATAAAATAAGTGCATTTCTTTGATTAATCTTATAAGACTAAACTCATGTCGTTTGACAGTTAGTTGTCATTGGACGTTAGATCTTCATGTGTAGCGAGGAAGTTTGTCAGAATTTATGAGGAATGCACGTTTCTAGATTTATCTTAATTAAAATACCATGCAAACATAAAACGTTCTTAAGAAGTTCACAAAACTTTCCAATGTCGTTAAAACGGTTATGATTTTAATGTTATTTATGTCCTATAAATGATTAGTTAACCGGCATTACTTGTAGGAGTGAATAGTCTGCAGTCCAATTAATAGTATTTGCTCACCTTCAAGCCCGGGTATTTCATTGTTATTGCAAGTGTCCTGCATTTCATTTTTGTTTTGTTTTTAATTAGATATGATGGTTGGGGACAAGGTGAACCAAACAATAATGGTGGAGTTCAAAATTGTGCTTGCATCAGGTCGGTCACAGAGTATATATATAGAAAGCATGGAAAATGGGACGATGACCTCTGTACATTGGACAGAAACTTCATTTGCCAGAAAGGAATTTGTGAGTCAAATCACAGTTATCAATAGGCCTATGTGTCTTCAAATGGCACTCTAGTCTTGCACACAAGGCGGCATTAATTTTGCCTGACGCAAGACTCCTTCAACGAATGCGGTGCGGTCTTTGATGAGCAGTGTGAGAATGGCGTCGCGCAGAGAATGGCTGCTAAATTAACAGTGCAGTATTATATGGCGCATGGGCTAACTACTTAATTCACTGACTTGATTAGAGCGCAGTACTAGGTAAAACACCCCTTCACGGTTAAGGCCATCATTTTCATTTGCGATTAAAAATTTGCGTAAGCATTGCCTCATCCTGGCCTCATCAATGTTTTCAGACGCGCATGCATGTATTATTGCGTCACTGCCTGCGCTGCGCGCTCACATCATGTCGACACATGCGATGTGCATGCTGCATAAAATCAAGGTTACTCGCAATTCATATTTCTCTGGTTGTCTCATTTTCGCTCGTTGGAACATTGCCAGCACAAACCACTGACCTCTACCTCCTGGACGGGTCATCGCCCATTCCCATTCACTATACGTTACGTACTAAAAGGCTGTAATGTCTGACCGTTCATGAATATTCATGTTATTGCTTACCTCGGCAAAATGTTTGCTTTTACTAAATGGAAAAATGACGGTGGGGGGTTGGATGAAATGGACATAATGAACCAAGCAAAAGTGATCTATGATAATTCATGCTTCTTATCCTTCGTGTGCTTGACCTATAATCTTAAAATCACTTGGCAAACTGAGTCCAAATTAAGTTCGACTTGTTTCACTTGTGTATTATAGGCAATGACGAGCTTGCAACCTATTTTGATCAAATTAAGGTGGGTGAACTTTCAAAAGTCAATGGGACATAAGGGTTCCAATGAAAGAGCTAGTGATAACGTACGTCGGGGTGGATGTGCTTTTCGTTTATTCAAAAAATGAATTTTTAACGATTTTTGGGGTAAAATTCCATAGGCTAACATGTTAGGCTGCTGACTCTGACGATAGGGGGCGTTGTGAAATGAGACTAAACGGGGCTATATGTTAAAATGGTGCCCATATCGGCGCATGCGCACTCTTGTAACCGTGAAAGGGTGTATTGACGCAATCAAAATTTCTTCTCGTGTGCAGCGGGCTTTACATTTGAAAATCATTTCAACATCAAATTAATGTATTTATAAACATTTTATCATTTACTGTCATATATGTTGCTAGATTTGGTATTTATTGTTCCTAAAAGACCAATGCCATTTTATCATTTACTGTCATATAGGCCTATGTTGCTAGATTTGGTATTTTATTGTTTTAAAAAAGACAAATGCCTTTCTACCACACTCATTCTTTCTTGCATCGCATTCTACAGATAATTTCCATCTCGTGATCCCTCGAACTTATCCCGGTTTCGCTAATGTATACTGCGCCATCAACGTCGAAATCGAAGGAGAAACACTGTCTCCAGATGACGTCACGCTATCCGTCGGTCAAACTCTTTCGTCATCGAAACCGATTTCCTGCTCATCGACGAGTCTTGACGGTGAATTCCGTAATAAAAGTTTCCTTCTTGACAATGTGAACGAAGACGACCAAATCTTCTGCTACGTAGGTGAACTGCCGGACAAAAATAGATCCTTTTCACTGGCTACTATTTCTGCTGTCTTTGATTTTTACGGTAATATTATTTTTGTTCCAAACAATTCTCACCATATTTAAACTGATTGAGCAATTTTGCATGTTATAGTTTACGATGAAATAATTCGTACCCTTAAAATTCCTTTTAAAATATCGAATTATCCCGAATTATGTGTCTTGAGAATGTGACAAATTAAAGCTTACATCAAAAATTATTCAACCTAATCCCTCTTTTGTTCTTGAGTTACGAAAAACACAAAAATCATCAAAATCATCAAATTTAAAAGGTATACGCACAATTCAGTTGTTTCACTGTATGCAGTATATAACAACATACATAATGCCTATGCAAGGACATTATCCAGAAAACCTATTTAAGAAAGCAACGTACTTGGAGCTTTAACATGTCAATTTAAAGTAGGCTCTAAGAGATTACAGATTAAGATGGAGTTTTGTCAGTTGTTTTTTTGTTTGTTTCTCTTGGGGTTTTTTCTTCTTCATAACATAAAGGTAATTTACAGATAAACCACTTATTAACGGGACAGCTTTATCATTTCCAGCTTTACCAGAGCTACCATCCGGCCCAACAGTCGGAGAGATCAGGTCGTCATCAGTCTCTGTCTTCTGGAGCTCTTGGATACCTTGTCTGGACTTCGGCGACGGGCCAGTTGTTGGTTACCTTATCTATCAGCAAACTATGGAAGACGAATGGATAGTGGTTGGTAAAATCGACTTGGATGTGGGAGAGAAGGCGATCTTCAACGAATAATGGAGTTTGTATTGACTGACTTGGAACCAGGAACAGAATACAATATCAGTGTGTCTACCGTCAGAGAAGGTCCCGGCGGAGAAGGACCAAGAAGTCCACTTCTGACTGTTACGACTCCTACCCTCGGTGAGTGGTGATTGGACCAATTTTAATGATGATTTCGGTAAACCGAAACATCCAACCATGAACCATCAGCTAAAAACGCATTAGTCTTAGCCTCAAAAGTCCTATATCGGTTGGTGGCTTTGGCGGTCGGTCCTGCGTCCAATTGACATTAGCCATTAATCTTATCCCGACTCTTACCCTTACACTATTACCCCTACAACCCCCCCCCCCCTCCCCGCTGCACTGAACGAGGAGCCGGAGCGGGGAGGCGGGCTGGTGTGACTTTATAATAATTTCGTCGCCTAAAAAATGCTGGTTCCTTATTGACTTCGATGTCGCAATGCTCCTATAATTACCCTCGCCCTTATGATAATCATGGAATTGTCCTTAATCATTGTACAGAACCTCTTAATCAGGTCCAAGCACTACCCTACAAACCAATTATGCGCAGCCTAGGACCAAGGGAACCAAAAGGACATGGGGGCAGTGATATCAAAATATTAATGTCGCTATAAACATTTATAGCATTCTTTGTTGTAGCAATAGGTCTATTCTGCAATTGGCAATGAACTGACAAAGTTTGGTAATTAATGCTTATCTTTTCAATGTTACAGAGTGTCAGCACCTGAGGAAAACTAGTGCTGTTTGGATGGCTTTATTCGTGATATCGTTCTCGGGGATCATCATACTTCTTGCTATTGCCATGGTGATTGTAGGGTAAGAATAAAAACTATTTAAATTTCTTGCATAAGAGTAATGCCCTTTTCGAAAACGTTTTAAATGCAGAATGTAGATTTGCAAACCTCCGGATAACCACCCCTATGATAACTACTCCCGGACGACTAGCCCCAGAAAACTACCCCAAGGATAACAACCCCCGGACAACTACCTCCCCCCCCCCCCAGAAAACTACCCCTACGACAACCATCCTCTAGGACAATCCCCGGACAACTATCCTAGGGGGTAGTTGTCTGGGGGTAGTTGTCCGATGCTAGTTGTCAGGGGGTAGCTGTCCAGGGGTAGTTGTCCTAGAGGGTGGTTATCTTAGTGGTGGTTATCGGGGGTGGTTGTCCAGGGGGTAGTTGGCCGGACACGGTTTTTTACGTACCAGGTAAATAACACCCCGAAAAACTACCCACCCCACCCCTCCCCCCTTCAAGGACGATAAGTCCCTGGCAAATTACCCCCCCCCCCCCACCCGAAAGATTACCCCCAAGGACATTCTACCCCTCTCCCTTCCCCCCAGGACAATTAATCTCCTGAAAATTACCCCCAGGAAAATTACCCCTTTGGACAATTACCCCCCCCCCCCCTTAAAATTATCCTCTATATAGGACAAATACGTTCCCCAAAGAGAACCAAGGACATCCACCCCCGTGGAAAAATACCCGCGGTTCATTGAAGGGGAATTCCACCCTGATAATAAGTTGGTTTTAATGAAAGCAGAATTATATTTTTCGAGGGGTATTTGTCGTAGGGGTGATTTTCCGGGGGGGGGGGGGGGGGGTAATTGTCCTCGGGGCAATGAAAGCAGAATTTTGTTTTGAGGGGTAATTGTCGGGGGGGGGGGGGTATGGTTTGTCGTAGGGATGATTGCCCAGGGGGTAATTGTCCTAGAACCTGTTTTTGAAATTTCTAATTCCTAATTATAAGTAGTTTATACAACATAGCTGCCTGAAATCTATTCCTCTTGTACATCTTAGTATAAGTACTGTTAGATCGCAAAGTAGGCCTACCAATATATGTCCATATAACATAAACAAGGAATTCTCATAATTCTGTCCCCAATACCTAAACTAAAAGAAAAAAATGATCAACATTCTAAATATACTTTGCCCCAGTAACCATCTTTCAGTCGACCTTAAAACATTTTTTGTCTTTAATAATTTACTGGTCTCTGTCATGACTGTTTAGTGGGACATTTTAAAAGAATACCTTTGTATTCTGTTTTGTCGGACAGAAATTCACAAGGCCATTAGGCAATTGCCTGATTAATATGCTAACTAGGTTAATTATGCTAGTAACGCTAATTATTTTAAGTTTCAACCTGACTGACTTCTGAGATGGATATTGGTTGTCATTTAATTTAAAAAAAATACTCTTTGAAATGTTACCCCAAGTATTCAAATTTATTAATTATGTTAATTAGGCTAATTATAATACATATACATGGAATATTTCTCATGAATTGATGTGTTGTCTTTAAAATGTGATTTACAATGTTGCATTGCACCATTTTCAGGCTTGTCAGATAAACAATGACAAAGAACTCCATATATTTTACATATGCTAATTAGCTCATTATGCTAATTATGATGTTAAAGACAATTGCATTACTATAAAAAATAAAAACTGGTGTCATAAATGAATTCTTCGTCATAGGAAACCCTTGAAAAGTAATATTATCCATGTTTTAAGGCTTCCTGGATTAATATTAGCAACATATTACATAATTATTGAACATATGCTAATTGGATGATTATGCTAATAAAAAAAGTTGCCCAAGGTTGTAAAGGTGGCAACCAAGCTGATGTAATTCAATACCCATCTAGAACAAGAATCAACAAAAGAACTTGTACTTGGCAACTTTTCCAGGTCTGAAAAAATTCTACTAGACTAAAAAGGCATTTTTTAGGTAAAAGAGTAACAAAAATCATGTTAATCTCATCATGTATATCATTCATCTGAATATCTGCATATATAATTTTGAAGTAATATACCATCTATTTTCTTATACCTCTATCTTTACACTTATAGTATTTGAAAATTTCAAATATGATATTAATAGTGATGGTAATAATGCTAGTAATGACGAGGATGATGATGATGATGATAATGATAATGATAACAATGATTAATCACTATTTCTGTCTGTCATTTCTAAATCGACTATGCAGCAAGCGGAAGCAGAAGAAGGCAGAACTGTCTCGTGTACGTGTTGACCCAGAAGGAGCAGGCGATCCACAGAACCCTGATTACGAGCTACCTCAACCCAGTGTAGTTAGGCAACATGCCTACCAGGGCCTCAGAAGATCAAGGATCAGCGACAGCATAGAAGTGGATTACGATGACACCGCTGATCCAGAGAAATTGTAATACTTATATATGTCATCTGGAGTTCGAAAGTAGTTATTAAGTCTGCACGGGAGGCGTCATGTATTGACTTAGGACTGCGTTAACGACACGCATGACCTTTGACACGCAATAAGTGACTTTGCACAAGGAATGGATGTAGAGCTAGTATCACATTGGGCTGCAACAGCTTGCACTTGTTTTTAGACACAACATTTAGAGAAAATACTAGAAATAGCGACAATTTTCACTTGGAATCGCACTAAATTGGTACGTACGACACATTTGTGTATGTCGCGCGAACTCCCGACAACATTTGGGTACAAAATTTGCCTGGAGTTTTCAAACTATATGCTTTAAATATGGTTTAAAGTACATTGCACTGGGTGTGTGTGTGTGTGTGTATGTGAGTAGTTATGGCTGAGTGTGTTTGGAAGATATTTGTGATTGTTTTGTATAAGTATGAATATACATATATTTGTATATATTTGTATATAATTGTATGTTAATGGGCCCCTTTTACAAACTCTGCTTCTCAGCCATGCATTACGTCTTTCGTCTTCTTTGTTGTTAGGGCAGACAGCCAGTGGAACGGATTCGTTTAATAAAACTTATGGAAATTCAAGCATTACTTTAAACAAACAGAACTTTGTTTTTTCCGGCTCATTTTTCCTGATTGAGGTGTCATATAAAAGGGCAGAAATTAACTTTCTAGAAATGTGATTTTGTCTTCGAAATTCAGACACCGTTCGCCAAATGACTTTTTGGTACCCTCTCTTTATATTGCTTTTAATCAGTCATACGTGAAATATGCATCATATCAGTTGCATCAAATGAAAGAGGATCTAAGCTTTACAAAATATGTGTCATTTATTAATCATAATTGAGATTAAGTTATGATAGAACATGGATAATTCTCGGTTTCGTCGTGTATCCCCCCCCCTTCCCGGCTGCTATCGACTCAAGCATTCATGCTTTAGTTGGCTTCTGCATTTATCCTGATTCTTTGACTTATCTCCATACTTTCAAGTTTTCAATTATATGTAAGCATTTTGGGGGGTATATTTCATTCGTCACTTTTTATGTTATTCAATTATATTACATACTGTTATTGTTACTTGAATATTTTGTATTTGATTTTTCGATTAATGCGGAAACATCTGCTAAAAAAAAAAGATGTATCATGGTTTAAATTAACGTGTGTGTGTGTGTGTGTGTGTGTGTGTGTGAGTGTGAATGTGATATTTTTTTAGGAGTTGGGATGTTAGGTATGCGGTTAGATGTATAGGTGGGTGCTGTTCTGTGAATGGAGTATTTGTACAGTAGTGTTCTATATGATGAGTAGATAAGTGTTGTGTTTGGTGTAATGGTAGTCACGGTCTTGGGTGTGGTCTTGTGAATAAGGATAATTGGCTGGAGTTCCAGTGTTGTGCGCGTGTGTATCCGTGTATGTTTTGCAAGGTGCGAGTAAATGTGAATGTTTACGGGGGGGGGGGTAAGTAGTAGAAGGGGTGGAGGGATAGCGTGCTTAGGGTGGATTGTATACAAATATGTATACTTAATTTATTTCAAGTTTCATGAATGATGGTAATTAAGTTCAGTATGTGATTATTATTATTAGAACAATTTAGTGATTTTATTCCATTATTCTCCTTCTTTGCTCACTGTTTTATGAATAATTTATTTATGTTATGAAAACGTAATGAAGATCTGTATTTGTATGGAATTATTTACATTGATTTTTGATTTATTTTTGAATGAAATCTCTAATAAAAAAATATTGAAGAAAAAAAGTGTGTGTAATTTTTGTACATGTAATTATATCGTTATTTTTTTATCGGGTAGGTGGGACGCGGTCTTTATTAGGCCTACAACAAAAAGTTCTTATATTGCCCTTTAAAGGTACTATGTCCAAATTTGCAGGCCAAACAAATGAAAAAGTTAAATTTCAACTGCATTTGAAAGATAATACTAATTTAGAACTTCCCTAAAAAAGGTGGGGCTTGAAAATGTCTTAAAGTGGGAAAATAACGACTATTAGTTGTCAAATCGATTTAGGGCTATAGAGCCCAAAAGTAATAGTCTTGATTTTCAGACAATTGTACCGAATGGTCATACGTTTTATGCTGCGCAAAGATTCAATCAGTTTAATCTTGGCCATCACAAGAAGTGGGTTATTGATGTAGACAAACGCTCATGTACCCTTTAAAACTCTTTTCATGTATGTTATTACCAAAGAAGGAAAAAGCCAGTCAGTCACTCAATAGTGTCTGACAGTGAAGTCTAGCAAGTAAACGGGTTTCCTTGCATAATTTGGATATGAGGACACTGCTAACGTTTAAATTTCACAGATAGGACATACATGACATATTCATAATTTGTGCAAAGTTCTACTGAATTTGAGGTTGGCTGCAAAAGGGACATAGTATCTTTAAGTTCCATAACATGGGTCGGTCGGTAATCTTTTTTTTTCTCCCTCTTTGGGCTGATTATTTACAGTTTTGTATTGAATTAAACTTTTTTTCTTCAAAAAACGGTTTTAAAAAAGTACTTTCTTAAAAAGCCGATAGTAGATTTCAAGATATTTGGGTCGGTTGCAAAGGGCAATACATCTTTTTTGTTTAGGCTTTATAATAATGAAGCGAAGACATCTACGCAAAGTTTTTCGGAATATAATTAAATCGGAAAAATTTGGAGAAATTCTTCATTCCAATGATATTACCTTGTGAGGAGGGGCAGGACAACAATTTTGTTATGTGGACTAAGAGGTGTAGCGGGGGGGGGGGGGGGTCTCATTTCTCATTTTACCGCCCCCCCCCCCCGAAAACAATTAGCAGTTCAGGAGTAAAAATAGTTTGTATTTTAACCAAAGAGAAAATAAAAAATAAAACCTGAATTGAATCACACAAAAATTACATTCCATTCAAAGAAAAGCAGAGTAAACAGGAATTAAATTTCCTTAACATTCTACATGCCCCTATATTTATCAATGGAGGATTTTTATAATAGCGATACGCGCATATCGTGGAAATATTGTGAGAGGATGGGAAAGCGTGTGTGTTTGGTATTGTAGGGGTGAGAAGACATTAGCCCCTGAACACTGGTGTACTGATAGGGGGAGGGCAGATGTCCCCAAATATAATTCAAACGTGGTTTACTTCTAAATCGATACCAGTTATTTACAAATGTTGCTGAAATGACATGATTTTCCGGACTTTTCCTCAATTGTTTTGGTAAAATATTCTTCTGTATGCGTTTGTTGAAAAATGACCAATCCCTAATTTAAAGTCAAGGCTAAAAATATGCTCATTTAAAAGCTTTCGTGTCAAGGCCTGTAGAACGGAGGGGCTCGGGAGTTCGAGCCCCACTCACTTTTTTGAAAAAAGTATGTTAAAGAGAAAATCAAAGAAAGAGAGAAAGATGAGTGACCTGCCAGTGTCACAAAATGAGGTATCGAAATATGCTCATCTGACCGTTATCAAATGCCTAAAACCCCCGAGCTAACGGGGGACTCCGCCCCTTGGATCCCACCAAGGACCCTAAGGCGGCCCCCTGGATGCTCATCTGACCGTAACTAAATACCTAAACAGCTGAGCTTCCGGGGGCTCTACCCCCTAGACCCCA